GCAAGAATGCATTGGCATTTAGAACTGATTTATTAAGCAGAGGATGTGACTGGTACAGATAATTTCTCATCAGTGTCCTTCAGGAATCTGGAACTGTTAGAACTGTTAAACCTCCATCTTCTGCAGCTTGTTTTTTTTTTTTTTGTTAAACCATAAATGTGTTTTCTTTTCTCATTTTTTCTGTTTCTGATCTTCCAGTTCCTTGAAGGCAAACAAGAACAAGTGTTGGGTTCCACCGGCTTTAGTGTGATGAGGAGTCTTGGGTTGACTTGGGGGCAGCTGACTACCAGGCTGTAGAAACACTGTGTACTGTTCAAATGTTTGTGGTTGTCCTTGTCCGGTGGGGGCACACAAGCTGCAGAAGAGAGATTTCCTTTTAAATTAGCCTAACTGGCAAACTTTTGGTTCCCTGGCATTTTGCACTCTGCATGAATGAATGTGAGTCATTAGAAGAGCTTTTGTGTTTAAACTAGAAAGCATCTCTGGGCTGATGGGACGTGCTTCCAAGTTGTTTCTCTTGAGAAACAATTACACAAAAGTGCACTTTGCCTTAACAGGAAAGGGTTTTTAGGTAGGACTGCGGCCACTTGGTGTGTGGAAGCCGGCTTGATTTGCAAGTGCTGCAAAGGGATCTGCTGCTTCCGTTGTTCAGTTTCTTGCAACATCCTGTAGACTGGTGAGATCTCCCTGCAAAGCCAATACAGACTGAGTCAGAAAGTCTTGTTCTGCTCGGAAAAGTCCGGGTGATTTTTGAAATGCCTCTCCTGGCGACAGTGTGCGAGCAGTAGAAAGAACTCTTCAAGTTTGTGCATAAACTTTCCTTTTCACCTCAAATGTAGCACCTGGCTCTTTTCTTTCATATTTAAAACTCCAGTGTTGCAAATGCTCAGCCATTCCCACTGTCTTTGGGATGAAGAACTGTAATTGTACGGTTTTTGTTAAAGTACAGATCTGCTGCTTCACAGGCTTTCTGTCATGCAGTGCCATATGAAGAACAGATGCCAGAGCTGTCATATAGGTAACTCGTGGGGTGCGTTGACAGAGTAGCGTGGACTTTGGTGGGAAACCGTGTTAAGGTGAATTCCTATCTAGTATGCCTTTTACTTTTTCAGTAAGCAAAACTTTAGCATCTTCCTAACTCTGAGCGTTGGCAATGCTGTTTTAACAATGCTTTCATAGCTCTTCATCCCTTGATGCCATCTCCTAATGGACCTGAAACTGAGGGTAGGAGAGGGCAAAGGAGTGTGGAAGGCGTGTATCAGATAAAGCCTGCGTGAAACAGGGAAATAGGCACAGAGCTGGGCCGACGCCAGAAGCTATTCTGGGAAAGCGTCCGCTTTGTGAGGACATGGTATCAGCTTTTAGAGGAGAAGGCATGCTCTTGTCCCCTCCTACCGCTGCTGCTGGCCGGGCATCGCCGGCGCCAGCCCAAGCCCCGGCCGTGGCCTCAGTTCCCATCACGCGGCCACGTGTTGCTTCCTGCCTGAATTCCTCCCATTCTTGTTTCTTCCTTCCGCTGCAAAATGCCCTTCTGAACTTTGTGGACGAGCCGCTGCTCCGTTGGAGAAGCTTAAGCCCATGTGGGCCCCTACCTTGCAGTCCCAGGCTAGACTTGCAGAGAAATTGGCTTGGCACAGTGGAATAACAAGGGTCGAGAACCAGGCAAACAGCACTGGGACACAGCTGGGAAAGGGAGGAGTTAGCCATGAGTAACGAAAGCACAGCTGTCAAAAAACTGATCTTAGCTGCTTGAACTGGAGAAACTTCTTCCTTCTCCTTGTGTGAGAGGAGAACACGGAGACTGGTCCGTTTAGTGTTTTACCTGTGCAAAATGCATCATCTGGGGAGATATATGTATGTATAATTTTTCTCCTGCCTCTTTTTTTCTCCTCCTTCTTGGGCAACAAGCAAACTCCTCCCTATCAGCCCTTCTCCGTACTGGGAAACCCATAGAGCAACAAGGTGGAGAGGATGCTTTGGAGAAGCTTTGCCTGCCTTCCTGAAGGAAAGATGGTTCAACCGCGTTCATGCAACTGTAAATGTCTGTTTCTGTTACTTGCGGGTCTTTGTGACACAGCAGTGAATGCTCTGTAATGCAAAAATTAGAGCTCAAAACAGCAGCTGTATTGTTAAACTGGACAGAGCTGGAGCGTGGACCCTGCAACATAGTTGTTGATACCGTCCATCTGTTAGCACGCTTCCTGGCGTGCCTCCAAACAGTCCTTCCGCACAGTTTGGGAATTGGCTTGGGGAGGGGGTCTTTCCCAGGCAACCGCTTGTAGTCAGCCACCTCTTTCTGAAGGCTGACTCTACCAGCGTGTGCTGAAACTGCAGCAGATCGGCCTCAGCCTTTTGGGACAGCTCCAGACGTGTTCAGTTTTGTGAGCATAAATGCGGTCAGTGGACCCTGTCAAATCCCACCCTTGACACCTGTTTCTGCAAGATCTTATTTCCGTTGTTCACTGAGTGAATCAGGTAACAAAGCTTCCTAATAGTCAGGTCTTGATGCCTCTGAGGGTGTGTTGAGCACTTCTGCATGCTTTGGCAGGTCTCTTCCTTGTTATCTGTAGCCTGAGCAAGTACAGGTTTGGAGGGCAGCACATCTGGACGGAAATATCTTCTTCTAGGTGAATAACCAAGAAGAAGGCCACTAGCCTAAAGTATTATTTCCACTTCCTACTTCTATTAGTAGGCATATATTGGAGTATGTACGACATTTGACTGTAACAGCCACTGTCTTACATAGCTCTACAATTGCTTGTGCTCCCTTCTCAAGAGGGTCTGCAACCTCAAGTCCGTAACTGGGCTCCAGGGTAATGTGTTCTGCTAAGTCTAGCCTCATCATGGACCCCCTGCCGCCCCATCAAGGAATTACAGTAGCGGTCACAAACAGATAATTTGTGCTGCATATTACAGAGATTGTGACTACATGTATACCCACCACTTGAATGTAATGCATGTTCTCAAAGAAGCCTGGAAGCGTCTTCAACAAATGCAAAGAAAAACTGGTAACTCTAGGACAAAACACAGGTACACAGGTACACATGTATGTTCATACCCATATGGAGGAGGGGGGAGAGGATACAGCAGCCAAACCTCTAGAGACTTGTCCGCAGCCTAGCAATTGCGGTGGAGACCTTTGTTTTATAGCTGGCAGTGCCAGCGCGGAAGTTGCAGTGCTCCCCTCCTCTGCAAACGGACTGTTTCCTTACTGATGGCTGGGTAGCACAGAAAGCATGGCTTTATGAGGTTCCTTAATCTCATTAATTAGCCATTGCTGGGAAGAGCATGTGGCAAAGGGAGGGGTACTTCTCTAGGAAGTTGTAGTGCTCCTCAGATTTTATGGCAAGCCAGGTCATCATGTTTAAGCAGGCGGAAGCAAATCCTGGAAAGGTGAACGGTTTTCTGCTGAGTTTAGCGCAACGCATGGGCTTAATCTGTGACCAAGTAGATGCTGGACCTGCTGCAGAGGAGGGCAATTGTCCGGCTGGGGACAGGGAGAGGGAAGAAGGAGAAGAGTAGTCAAAAGGGGATGTGAATTCAAGGATGGCAAGCTGTTCATTTTGCTCAAATGCAGAACAGCACCCTTTGCTGGCCTTCAGCTGAAGGCATATGTGTGCAAGAGTTATGACTGGGAGTACCAGGAAGGGAAAGAAGCTGGTAGATCATTAGGTCCTGGTAACAAGCCTCCCAGCAGAAGTTCTGCTTGTTCTGCACTTTTGTATAATAACGTTTTCATCAGCCAGTCCGAGCCATTTTGGTGGCAGCATGGTCTGGTGTGAGGTATGACAGTCCTCCTTGCAGGACTTGTTCAAAGCCCCTGGGCATGCAGGCAGGTCTCTCTGCCTCTCACGTAGCCTGGAGGAGGCCGCTCTGGTGCGCATCTGGTGGGTTTCCATGATGCAACCCCCAAGCTTGTTGCAGAGCTGGGCTGAGGTAGCTCCTGGTTACACGTGGAGAGCAATGAACAAGGCGCACGTGGAGCGGTCGCTGCCAGCAGAGCAGTCTTCATGCACGCGGTTGGCCCCGATCCCTGGGTGAAGAAACAGCAGCGTTTCGAGAAGGTTGAGGCCACGTCAGCCAACAGCCTGCGTGTCCCTGCAGGGTTTGCTTGGCCGTCTCCTGCCTCCCAGCCTGTGCTCTCTCATCTGCTACTGCTGTCACCAAAGCTCCTGTGATTTCTCCTGCCTGGACGCAGCATGTTAGGAGCCGGCTCGTGCCAGATGGGGAGTGTCAGCAGTACATCTTTCTCCACCCTTCTGGACAGCATGTTCCTCACCTTTAAATAGCTCGGAAGCTCTTGTCTTCTCTGGGGTCCCAGTGGGGGCATCTCAGTTTTACACACTG